TTGAAATGCAATTTTTTTTTAACGAGATTGGGTTTCCTGTAAGCTTTTATTTTCTGAGACGCGAACTCGATCTTCGATGAGGGGAGGCTTCGGCACCGGTTACCGGACTTCTTCCAATCTTCGTTTTTTCCATGTTTCGAATTGGATTGATATGTTAGGGTTTGTAGTTGAGAAGTTTTGTGGGAGAAAGAAGAGTAGAAACGTGTTGAAGGGAGTGGGCGGTGGGCGGTTTTTCAGAAATCTTTATTCCCTCTTACCATATTCATCGGGAGCCGTTTTGGTACTGATATTATACACCATAATTATAGCTAGTAAATTAATTATTTAAGTCAACTTGCTTTATCAACAGATTCTCGTATGTATGCAAATAAAACCGTAATATTTCTCTACAATCAAATATTTTTAACCAGCTGTTATTTGTGTAATTAAAAGATAACTTTCTAGTGTAGGCTATAATTTTCTCATAATTTAATACATGATGTGAGGTTATTCTAAGACTAAAAAATCAATTATCAATATTGAATTAGAGGAAATTGCATTTTCCCTCATGTATGTATCATATAGGAATAAATTCGGCCCTTTCGAATAATGGTTTTGATTTTTGTCTCTTGAGTTTATAAAAAGATTACTAAAAGGCCTTCGACTTGCCAGGAAATTCATAATATCATCGGAAACAGTCACGTGAGCAGCACAAGACCTGTTTAACAGTCAGTTTGATTTGGTGAGGAACTTGAATTCCAGCATGACGATAGAAAAATGACACGTGGAGTGCATGGCATGTAAAAGACCTTGAACAGGCTCGGTTCGACCTGAATTGACTTCCTCACCGGTAGATGACCTTCGATACCTACACAAACTTTACGTCGCAAGGTTTTCCAGCGTAGAGTCTCCGATGCTCAAGTTAGATCATGAAAATGATGATGAACAATGCATGAAAGATCTGCAAGTATGTAAAGTGCCTAGAGAATGTAATGTTGCTATGTTCATAACTCACTCCTTTTATATAGAAATGTGTTCCTTGTTGCTCAAGACTACCTTGATGAGATGCCTAGATTGCCCAAACTGTCCGATTTCTTTAGGCTGCATGGCTCTATCCTCATATGGTCCTTATCCTGATAATATTCATTCTTATCCATTAGTCGGCCTTATTAAAGGGTCTAATTGTGCGACTGACCCAAATCACCTCAAGGTAGAGTGTTGCGTAGGCTGAGCTCGTGTGTTCTGTTCATCTGCTCGATCCATCGACCAATCATGTCTTCAAGTCGAGTTTCAACCAGGTCATCTGAGGCCCCTAGCTCGACCTGTCAACCCGCGTCATCCTCATCGACCTAAGGACTCATTGTTCTGTTGTCTTGTTCGACCTCCATTCGACCTACTGTGCTTCTGCTCGACCAATCGGTTCGCCCGATCTAGCTGGCTGGTTTATCAGGTTTATTCGATTTGGTGTGCTATCTCGTATCATCTGGTCGCCCCCCACTCTGATCGAGTTAGGATAAGTCGATCAAAGAGTAGATTTTTTATTTTATTTTTTACTTTTCTCGGTGAGTTACAACTTTTATTTTTTGACCAGGCTGCTCGCACTTCTTCAATTTGCAGCGATGTTTTCGACCTCCCTTTGTGGTCTTGAATTAAAATTTTGAAATTCAAATATCTGCTTCTTGTCAGATTTAGTCAGTCCTAACGTCTTGTCAACGTAACAACTTCGTGATCCATGTTGTCCTCGTACAATGTATCCACTAAATGCTTCTTTAACGGTGACCCTTCGATCTACCTTTAATCTGACGGTTAGAAACATGTTGTCTTTGCGAATCTCGACAACCAATTGTTCTGATTCTACATATTGATCCTTTTCAACTAAAAGAAAACTTTTTCGGGGAATATTTACATTAACAGTATGTCGAAGATCTTTCTCAATAGTTACATAGAAGTTTATAGAACATAAAAATGCGGGATATCTGTGAACTCACCTATTTGATCTTGAACGACGATCCTGTTAATGTGTATACTGAACGCTCAGCTTTTTGTTGATACTAATACTGTTTGAATGAGAATGATGTTTAATTAAGCAATGTACGTTATGATGTCTTACATTTGGATAATATGGTTCATCGCGGTGAACAGAAGATCATATTATTGGTTACTTGATGATATAGGATATTATATACTAGACCAGAGTTGGGGGGACTAGATGATATAGGATATTATATACTAGACCAGTCCTAATGGATAAGAGGAGAATATATTGAAAAATATGCCTACACATGGCTAGGACACGTGGCACGACGCTATTGGACAAGCCCAACTTGGGCCATAAGGTATACTCCCCCTATAAAAGGGGGCTAAGGTATCCCATTCACACTCTCTCTCTACATTCATAATTATACTCTTGGGATTTGGAGTGATACTGACTTGAGCGTCGGAGGCCCGACGCCGGGACCCCTCCCGGCGTTGGGTTCTTACAGGTCTGGCGGCCGTTCGAGTTGAAGGAGCCGGGTGAAATCTTATTCACTTCATTGGCGCCGTCTGTGGGACTCGTTAAAAAAGCCAAGCGGAGTTCCGACCGAAAAATTCGAGAAATTTTCTAACAAGCTTCTTCTTCTCCACCGGCCACCGCCGCCACAGCCACCACCGCCGGCCGCCACCCTCGCTGCCGGCCGCCGGAAAACGTGCTCCGATCGGAAAATTCTTTACGTAATTGGATAGATCTCTGTGAGGTGGATCTCTCTTTAAAATTTTATGCGAAAATTCATCCGGGAAGGCCGTCAATTTTGAGGTCAAAGTTTCCAGATCTAGCAAAAAATTGGACATTCAAACGCATTTTTCCGACGATCCGTGAGGGCTATGGAAAATCCAAGGGTACCACCGAAATCCTCTTGACGAGGCGAATCTTTAAAGCCTGACCTCCGCCGAACGCCGTCGCCGGAAGCCGCCGGCCGCCGCCGCCTCCGCCACCAACCACCGCATAAAATTCTTCGATCGGGAAAATCTCTAGATCACCGTGAAGCTCTTCTCATGCTCGTCTCGCCCTTAAATTTTCAAGCAAAAATTCCAACCGGAGGACTGTCAATTTTGTCGGTCAAATTTTATAAATCTAGAGATTTTTGGTCAAAATCCGGTTATCTCCTCCAATTTTCCGGCGATGTCAGGCGATTCACTTCAATCCGACGGTACCATAAGAACCGCCTCGTCGAGGCGCACATCTGGACGGTGATTTTTACCGGAGCCGGCGGCATTTTCCGGCAGCGTTTTCCTTGCCCACAGGGAAGTCCTTGCCCGTCAGATCTGCAAGCAACCCGCGCGAGCCCGCGCCTAGCCCGCGTGCGGCACGCGCCCAGTCCAACTCCCCTTCTGCCCTATGCTTGGCCCAACTGAGATTTTCAGCGGCCCATTCGGCACCCACCTGCGGCCCAATGCCCTGTAAGTGGCCCAAATGGTATCCTAACCCTTCCAACGTGGCCGGTAAGCAAAAATAGCCCTATTCTGTGCCCAAGACTAATTCGGGATGATTAAAAGTAGACATGGAGGTAAATTTAAGTAGCATTCTCATGATAAAGGTATGGAGTTGATTAAACTTTTGAGTTGAAAGATTTTTTAAATTGGTGATAACTGGAAATACTTGACTTATTCATGGTAATTAATTTGTGAAAATTGAGGAGTATCATTGGATTTATTGAGGAGTATTATATGATTTGATCGAGGGATTATTTGATATATTCGATGAGATATTTGATTTATTTATGGAGTAATATTGGAGTTATTTGTGGAGCACTATTTAATTAGTTCGAGGAGAATTATTCGATTTATCCGTGGAGTCTATTTGATTTATTGGTGGAATATTATTGGATTTATTGAGGAGAATTATGCGATTTATTCGTGGAATTGTTCGATTTGTTTGAGGAGAATTATGTGATTTATTCGTGGAATTGTTCGATTTGTTCGAGGAGAATTATTTGATTGGCTCGAGATATTATTTGATTTATTCGTGGGATTATTTGATATATTTGTGAAGTTTATTTATTTTATTCGTGGAGGATATATTCGATCTATTCGGGTAAAATTATTTGATTTATCCGTGGAAACTTGTTTGATTGAGAATAAATGCGAGTCGTGATCTCGAATTGAGGACATTTTGTGGTGGTGCTTACCGTGTATTTGGTGTATTTATCAATTTTTATTGGTGGGCTCAGGGAGATGAATTAACATTATATGATTTGATATCTTGATATATTCAGAGCCTCTCATTTGAATTTTCATGTGAAAATGCGAAATTTTGTTCGAAATGATTATTCATAATTTTTAAGCATGTCATTGCTCGAGCATATCTTAGATCGACGAGATGGTGATGATTGTATTTGATCTCTTATTTTTCTAGCGTGGAGAATTGCAAAAGGGATAATGTGAATATAATATGGATAATGATATCTCTTTGATTTTTTGTCGAGGAAACAACGAAATAACCCAAGTCTCGACAAGCTATAGCTGTTGTAGAGCTTCGAGGACACAATGAATGAGCACGAAGCCATCAAAGCAGGGTGATAAGGAGGGACGAGTCTGGATGGTGCCGATCGCAGGTGGCAATTTCAGAGGCAGAAATCATTCTTTTTTGGAGAGGTAGGATAATTGGGAGTGGCATTCTCGACCTTCAAGTATAAAATTAATCTCAACTCTTGTCGATGGTCAAGTTCGACCGACTCAATATAATGAAACATTGAGTCTCTTAGCATTCTTTTTTGAAGTAATATTCATTGTTTGAATATTCTGGGCGAAATATTGCTGAGATTGTGGTTTATGTGGATATGTCCGGAATTATTATTGGGGTGACTAACAAAATGCAGAAAATGAGGTGTACGTGGAGCCTCGAACAAAATCTGGCACGACTAATGCCTTTGGGCTGGCCAGTCTTGAGCCGTCATGACTAAGGAGCTCGGTATTGGAAGTAATTCATTCGAATTTTTGTTTGGTGCATTCGTTTAATGATTGATTGTAGCTGCTTAGTATGGTTTGTTGTAATTGCTTGTCGAATTCATGGTTTTGCGAAATTCTGGTCGACTATACATTTGAATGGGTGTTTATGCAATTTCATATTGTGGTAAAGAGACTTGCATGTAGATTGTGGTGTGGTATAAAAGCATATGGACCAATATGGTTGCTTTGATTCATTCGTCTTTTGTTATTATTGCTATCGGGATTGCAAATTGGATGATGTGGATAAAATGCAACTAATGGAATCTGTTGAATTATTGTCGAGGAAAATACATGAGCAGGTGACCTGGATATTGGGTATGGTGAGGAGTGGGAAGCATGGAGCAAACAGCAACTCAGGACGTCGTGTACAGACATGAAAGGGAGGTCGAAAAAATGCTTGATTTTTTTTATTTTTATTTTTATATCTTGTTCGATATAACTATGCATTTGATGAGACTAACGAAAATGATCAATTACTATTCTGTCTCGTGGTCTTTGGTGTGTTTCCTTGTCGACCTCCGTGGCAGGTCGAAGTGTTCGAGCAGTTCGAAGATAAAAATCCACCATGACTAAGGCCTCCGGCTGGGTGGTCGCTTGTTTTGTACACCCCTTGGGATGGGCAGGTTAGTCGAAAAGCCCACGCCTTCGGGCTGGGTGGCCTCTTGTTTCGAACATTCCTCAGATTGGGTGGGCAAGTGCCTGAAGACAAAATCCACTATGACTAAGGCCTCCGGGCTGGGTGGTCACATGTAACGACCACTCCTTTGAGGGTGGACATGTGTTCGAAGACCAAAATCCACCATGACTAAGGCCTCCGGGCTGGGTGGTCACATATAACGACCACTCCTTTGAGGGTGGACATGTGCTCGAAGGCAAAAATCCACCATGATTTAGGCCTCCAGGCTGGGTGGTCGATCCTAGTGTTGGGTCGGTGAAGACATGGATCCTATTGAAGACCTCGAGAGAGTTCATTTGATGTTATTCACGGAGATTACTCGAGGACCTCGATGGCAGCTCGACAATCTTTACTTGGTTTTGGTGTTGTCGAATTATTTTTTGACCTCAGAGGTAGGTCGAGGGAGTTCGCTCGGGGCAGTTCACGGAGTCAGACTATTAAGATCGATGGTTTTATTTGTTTTGGTTATGTCGAGTTTATTTTTTGACCTCAGTGGCGGGTCGAGGAAGTTCATTTCGAGCAACTCAGGGAGTTTACTTGCAGACCTCGGTGGTAGGTCGATGATCTTTATTTGGTTTTGTCGAAATTCGGCTTTTGACTTCAGTGTGGTGTCAGGACATTCGGTTTCGAAAGGATAAACAGCAGGGTTGAATTTCAAATTTTGAACTGAGGGGGCGATGATAGGAGGAGGTGGTAGGAATGGCTTATCTTTGAATGAAGAGAGCTCTAACATGGTGATCGAAAAACAACAAGACGTAAGTTCAAATTTTTAAATTCAAGACTTCGGTTCTCGATTTTTGACCTCAGTGGTCGATCAGCTTTCGGTGTTTGACCCCAGTGGCAGGTCTCTCGATTTTCGACCTCAGTGGTCGATCAACTTTCGGTGTTCGAACCCAGTGGCGGGTCTTTCGGTTTTCTATCTCAGTGGTCGCTCAACTTTCGTGTTCGACTCGAGTGGCGGGTCTCTCGATTTTCGACCTCAGTGGTCAATCAGCTTTCGGTGTTCGACCCCAATGGCGGGTCTCTCGATTTTCAACCTCAGTGGTCGATCAGCTTTCGGTGTTCGACCCCAGTGGCGGGTCTTTCGGTTTTTTACCTTAGTGGTCATTCGGTATTCATTTGGGGTCCCGATGCTCATTTGGAGATTTGGTGACTATTTGGTGGTCGACGGTTTATTCAAATTACAACCTCAGTGGCAGGTTGACGGAAACAGCTCGAAGAGAAATTTCACTCTTAGATTGAGTCATTCAGACTCGACCAGAGTGGGGGGGACTAGATGATATAGGATATTATATACTAGACCAGTCCTAATGGATAAGAGCGGAATATATTGAAGAATATGCCTACACATGGCTAGGACACGTGGCACGACGCTATTGGACAAACCCAACTTAGGCCATAAGGTACACTCCCCCTATAAAAGGGGGCTAAGCTATCCCATTCACACTCTCTCTACATTCATAATTATACTCTTGGGATTTGGAGTGATACTGACTTGAGCGTCGGAGGCCCGTCGCCGGACCCTCCCGGTGTTGAGTTCTTGCAGGTCTGGCGGCCGTTCGAGTTGAAGGAGCCCGGGTGAAATCTTATTCACTTCACTTGTAAAATATAAATAATCAAGTTCACAACCTAGATGGAAATGAACGACCTATCGTGAACGTCTGTAGTGTCAATTATACAGTCTGTCTTGACAATTGGTTGCACCAATACACTATGTGTATTGAACGGATCCCCAGAAAGGATGGGTTTGTTTTATACTGATCGAGTAAATAAACTAGACCTCAGTTAATTACTGCTTACTATTAACACGTATGATATAAATACACGCGTGCATACAGTAGCTACTATTTTAATACACCAAAAAATGATATCCATTATGTTGGGTCAATAGTATTTTATGGATAGTATCGTAGTAATTTTGTGTGATGGTGTGTTGTCTAAATATTTATAGTTACCGTGTGCGATAGTCTGATGATGTCTTTGAGATGAGCTCAAGAAGAATTATTATGTTAAACCCGACCGGCGGAATTTATTCCGAAATAATAATAAAGTTTTGAGAGTCTCGATTCAAGAAGTCAATTAATTATATTGTCAGTAATTAAATTAATTGACGGATATTATATCAAATACGAAAAGTAAATCGAGTAATTATTATTGGAGCCTCAAATATAATTTGTATTGTAAATGGAGAGTGCCATAATATTTTTTTTTAGTGAACTGAACTATTATTAACATTTGAGCCAGGGTGAGTTTGACCCACAGTTAGGCCCAAAACCAGCCAGCCGGACCGGGCTATGGCAACCGGTTCCCCTCTTAAGTCTTAACCAAGTGAGGATAGTCTCAATATTGGATCTGACCACTCTGATACTCTGCCAAACCATCCCCAAACACTTCACAGATTGTCATCTAACATGGAGACTTGCCGGGTACCGAGTCATTGGCCGCCTATTAAATGCCGGTTCGAGCAAACGTCGTCGTTTCGAGCAGCCACGTCGTGTTGTTTCCCTCCAAACGCGAAAAAACTGGGGGATCATTCAATGGATGATCGAATGTTCATTCTCGGAATGGGTTTCGTGGGGCAGTTCTTCGCTGCAGATGTGAAGAACAAAGGATGGTAAAAGAAAAAAGAAAAAAAAAATCTACCTTCTTTATATTTCTCTTACTTTAATCCTTCAATCGACCCTTATTTTTCGGGGATCTTCTGGGTGTCTGTTTAGTTCTTATTACTCGTTGGTGTGCATTTGTGGTAAAGGGTGGTGAGTGGGAGCTGTACAAGCTCCGCCAAGAAGAAAGAACTTGAAGAACTGGGATATCAAGCTTTTGTCTTCGATGCGAATGACCCACTGTATGTCTCTCTCTCTTTTTCACTCATTTAAATTTATCTGTTGTGTTCTCATAATGTTTATTTGGTTCGTTCAGTGTACTGATTTTGATCTCTGACTGAATAGTGTGCGAGACTGTACGAATTGGGCTTGCTTTTCCGAGTAGATGATTTTGTTTGATATATGCATTTTATTGTGAATTGTATTGAAACCTTAGATTATTCTCTACTTGCATTCTTTATTTTGGGAAAGATAGTTGATTCACGAGGTTGATTGCAATGTATATTTGCAGGCGTGAAATTCTGGAGATAGTGAAATATCACACCCATCTTGTTATCTCCATTCCTCCTCTTAAGGGTCTTGGGGATCCGGTATACTAAGTTCCTAGATTATGTCCTTTTAGAATATTTACATGGATTCCATACAGGATAATTGATTGTTATGACTTATCCTCACTTTCTCCATCTTGCTTGGATGTTAATTGTTTCTAAATTTTGCAGTTGCTTTGTCATAAAGATCTAGTCGAGAGTATATGGAACAGTGGGAGGCTTCGATGGCTAGTCTACTTGTCATCAACTAGTATGGACTTTTTTTTTCTATATGTTCTCATTTATGTTATCAACAAGATGATGTGTCTTACATGCATGCATATGACAATGACATGCTTTGGTTGCTATTTCAATTGTTGTTTTTGATTCTTGATTTTATTGGTAAAATGATGATTTATGTTAGATGCAATTCGCATGGAAAATTTAGAAGTTACTGGATTGTATGCTGCTATATGTTTCATTGCTCTTTGGCTAAACGGAATTTTGATACGTAATTTGGACCATAATATGTTGCGAATGGAGGAAAATCATTGATCTTTGTGCTACTGAGTCTAGGATGGAAGGAAATGAAAGTGAAACATGAGGTGAAAGCCATGAAAATTTTTACTTCCACATTTTAGTGTGCTACCAAGCAGGTACTGACTTCAACAATATACATTTTAAAAGAAGAACAATTTTTTGTTTATTTGAAATCAATCAAGTACCCCTGTTACTATATTGGCAAACATTATAAACTCTATTTGTGATGTTTAAGTTTGCATCACTTGTTTTTTGCTTTTAAAATTTAAATCTCAATCAACTTTGTGAACTCAGTGGTCTTGTAAGCAGATATCTTTTTCTTCACAGAAAGTTAAAAGCAGTTCAAACTTAGAACATTTTAGATGGGGGGACTCACAATCTTAACGTTGGTTGTGCTTTTGTTTGCTTGAATTAAACAGTTTTCCTGCCTTAAATATTCAAAACTGTACTTTGTGATTGAGTGATTTTTCCATATGAAACTTTAGGTGTATATGGCGATTGTGGTGGTGCGTGGGTGGATGAAGAGTAAGCACACATTTAAAATATCATATTTTTTAAGGACTAAAATCATCAAGGAAGTATGCAACATTATTACATGACAGTTATCAAGTGAATCCAGCCAGTGAACTTGCTCGAGCAAGATTAACTGCTGAGGAAGAATGGTTGCGTTTGGGTCGTAATCTTGGTATTGCAGCACAAGTATTTCGACTTGGTGGTATATATGGCCCCGGTAGAAGGTTAAGTATGATTATTTTTAGCTATTGTCTTGACATTTACAATTACATTTGTAATTATATGTGTTGGATTTATTTTTACCTTGTTTTTTAACATCTGTGTTTAATAGTGCTGTGGATACCATCCTCAAGCAGTTGCCACTCTCAAGTGGACAGAAAATGAGACATTCAAAACGTTTCACGTCTCGTGTTCATGTCGCTGATATATGCCAAGCACTTCATGCTAGTATTTCGAAGCCTGCTGCTGGGTAAGTTTATCTTTAAAAATTAAAAAAATTTACTCTTATGATAATGTGATTATATTCCATTCACTATTATTAATGATCAATGTCTTGCATAATTACAAGAACTTCTAATTATCTTTAAATTCAAAATTGCGAACTTCTTAACATGTTCACTTTTTTACAAATTTCAATTTTCACCTACAAATTTCAATTTTCACCTACCGAAGTGGTACATTATTATTTAAAACAACTCAAATTGATTATACTTTTCATTATAAGCGAAAATCTAATGAATGCTGCTGTAATTATCCCATACTCAATATAATGCCGATATTTTCACATTTATTATCTATGCTCCCTCAACCGGTGTAAAAGTCACATAAATATATTCACACAACAAATGCATGTGGAGGGCTAAGCATATTATATCAAAGTGTGTATTCATTGATCATGCTTCAATTCAGGAAAATATACAATATTGTGGATGATGATCCTGCACCACGGGAGGAAGTATTTGAGCTTGCGCATAAGTTGGTTGATGAAAAGTTTCCGGGTCGCATAAACCTTCATATATCTTCCGAAAGAGAAAAGTCACTTATTATGGATAAGATATCTGGTAGAGGTGAAAAGAGAGTTTCAAATGCTCGAATGAAAAAGGAACTGGGAGTGAAGCTGATTCATCCTACCTACACTTCTGGATTGCAAAGCATTATTAAGCAGATTGACTGACAGTCAATTTCTGCCCAATTATTCATGATTGTGGCAGAGTGAATGTAAAGAAGAATGGTCATGAACTTGTGTTTAGGAAGTTGCCCTTTCAACCCAAAATGGCTGATCTAGCCTTTATAAGTGTAATCATTGTATTATCCGAAGATGTTGTCCAAAGTCAATAATAAGGCCAATAAATGACTTGATTTCTTAGTTCCACTTGTTTATTTTTACACGATTGTGTCATCAGAATTTTTCCTATCCACTTAAGAGATACTTCATGAAAATTATACTAAGAGAATACATCTCTATTCTCTTGCTTTCTTTTATAAGACTTTATTAGCACATTGTTTGTTCTAATAAAAGTATGCTGACTAATAAAAGTTTGCCGTACAGTTGCGTTTTATAGACATTGTTTGTATGAGAAATTTAATTATTACTAAACCAAAGTATGAGAAATTTGATCACTTTCTTTTGCATCATAAACTGCCTAAACCAAAAATGAGGGTGCGCTTGGATACAAATATATATTCTCAAAATGATTTTTTTTTATTTAACTATGGTTAGGTTTAAAAAAGTTAGTATAATTAATTATTAATGGAATTTTGTGTTTATATTAAAATAATATTTATAATACAATAATTAAAATTGATTTGATGTAAAAAGAGGAGAGAAATGATGTAAAGTAATGGGTAGTTAAAAAGATGTGAGTGGATTAATAGTGAATAAAAGTTGATATGATGGATAAGGATGATTGATTGATATTATAATATTGAGGATAGTAGAGTTGAGTTAAAGTTGAATCAAATATTGAGTGTGAATTGAAATAATTTATAACCAAACACACCCTGATCAAATGTATGTACATCACAGTAATGCATACCCAGCAAACTCCAACACTATTCAGTACCATAACATCAAATTTTGATTGGGATTATCAAACAATTACCAAAATCTTCTTACAACACATGGATTGATCAAAAGGCCACGCCAGAATATATTGTTAGATGCTGTTAGTCTTAACTTCCCTTTTTCCAGTGGTGAGGGATTCTAAACACAAAACTTCCGAGTTCAAGACCTGATTTCAACTTACAAAAAAATGCGGATTGCGGCCAGACTAACAGCAGAAATGGAGACAAGTGTACCAATGCAATACTTGATGACTTCATATTTTGCTGCTTCTAATTGTGCCCGCAACTCATGAATTTCCTGAGATCACAAAAGGGAAAACACCATTAGTCAATATACCAAATTCAACTGGTTACCAAATCCCAGCAGATATGTAACCTCACCCGGTTAAGTTTGTTTGTGAGGTTAGTGGTCTCCTGATTTTGTTCGTTCAGTTCATCCCGAATTCTCCTGAATAATTTTGACTAATAAGTTAAGAATAAAACCAATGAATGTAATGATTCGGTAAAAAGCACTGGTTTTGCATAAAAATTCTTGATAGTAGAAAAGCAACTGACCCCTTTTCAAGATTAAGATCCAAACGCTGCCCAGCCGTGGCACGATCAATTTCATACCTGAACCAAAATCGTGTACCCATTAATAAGAATTCCAATAAAATGGTACCAAGCCACGCAGTTTACGTAATTACAAACCTTAACTCACTGCGCGTCTTCTCTAAATCGTTTTTGAGTTTTTCCATCTCGTGTTGCAGCAGAGAAAAATGGTGGTCCTGCATTTGAGATCACATGAGATACGCATGACTTTTGCAGAGCACAAGTTTCTCCAGAATTTGAATCTCATATACATGATGTAACTCGTTATGTCGCAAATACAGTAAATACCACCATACAGTACTTTGCAGAACAAAATTTGTTTAATTCTACTCACTATTAGAAAACTAAAGGGCGCTAATTACTTCATTTTTTTTTAAAAAAAAATCCCTGTTCTCTTGATCTTGTAGTTATAATCACCAATTTATAGTCAAATTACCATAATCCAACAAGAAGATAAACCAATCCTTTTGCTTGAACAAGTACACCAATAAGTTATAATCATTAATTGTGAGCAAAAACTATAAACCAGATAAAAGGAATCTACACTGAGGTAGTGATAGTATATTCGGAAGGTAAAATTTAATAATTTTGCACTATCTTAAATAATGAATAATAAAATAATACACATTTGTATATGTCCATGCAAGCATAAGCAATTTGCTTGCCAGTTCATTTCCAAATTAGTGGATGTTTCCAAAAGAAGCCTCACGATACTGTTAAAACGGTCATGGTTGCAAGTGACAAGAAAGGAAGGAATCTGGTATTAAAGATATATCCATACATACAGAAAAAGGCAGAAAAGGAAAATATAATATAAATGTCCAGGCAATTTAAACTAGAGGGATTCAGAACATCTGGATGCTTGCTCTCTGTTTACTCAGTAATCTTACAACATGTAGAAGACGCAGACAGGATCCAAAAATGAGCCAGATAGATAGCAATGCAGACAGATACCAGAACAAACCTTAAATGATGCAAACACACACGATACCTACAGTCATGTTTTTGAACACAGAGATCATAAATCAAAAAGTTATACTTGATCATAATGGTACCTTTTATCATTTCCCTTAAACTCTTTTCTCGACTAAGATATGCAACTCCAGATCTCACATTTGTTGAGAATAATGAAACAATTAGAGTGCAAAAACCAGCATCCTAACTTTACCTCAATCCAGAATTCAAGGTATTTTCTAAAGAAATCCTTTTCGAAGCAGTAGTCTTTAATCAAGTGGTTCAATTGCCTTGTAAGATTGGATAGTTCTAAAAATGCAGGAATTTTTTTACACCATCCCAGAGAGAGTGAAGTAATAGTTTGTGTATTTCAAATGCTGTGTGGTCTAAATTTTTTATTCTTGATCTTAATCACTCAACTTAAGTTTTAAAGGTTAATAATCTATTAGACTCGACTTAACACACTATGTATCTGGAAAACTCAGATATTTGCATGGTTAAAAAATCACACAAACAGACTTGGTGAGTGAAATGAACATAAACAACAGATGCGCTGAGTGAAATTGAGATGACAAAACATGGAGAATAAAAAAAATATGCATAATTACGTAACTCAACATATATCAGTTTCCTCAAATTGAAAATCACTCGAGGTTGGGTATTTCAAGATGTGCTCCCGGAAGATATTATAAAGCAACCCTGATTTTCTCTAAACCCCATGTCATGTAAGACCAAACCCTAATTGAGGTATCATTTCGTAAATCAATCTATTAACTCAACCATTCAGACTACGCAACCATACTCATACAAGCACAATCCTTGCTATATATTCTCCGAGATACTCTACTCCTTAAATAGTTTCCTGCAACGATATGAAAATGCATGTTGATGTTGTAATAAATTTCATTTGAATCATTGTGGCTGCACCTGAACATAATGGCCTCACAAAATGCGCAACACCATTGATATACACTCAGCACACCTAAACTGATATCTCTTTTAGTGTCTAGGCCCAAAAATAAATCCGAAAACTACATCTCTCCTTCAATGACTCAATCAACAATGTGACCTCAAGAATCATAAGAGATCAATGGTATTTTCTTCATTATTATCAAACCTTAATGCACAGCCCTATTTAAGACAAATAGCTATATTAAGAATTTTCACGGCAACAAATTCCAGCTCCCATTACAAAGTAATCTAACCATCAAATGGCAGATGCCCGAGTATAACCTAGAACTACAGGAATATGACAGGATTAAAAAACAGATAGAAGAGGAATTTCATGAATTAAGAACATCGAGTCATTGCCTACCTGAGAACTCTTAACTTCCGTCTTGAATTTGGACAAATTGGATTCCTGCGTCATCTCATTCAAAGTATCCAACTAGCTAATGTAATAATGTCCACACATGATAAAATAATCAAAACTTTACTTTCTGCATTTCAGTTTTGGATACAAATGAATGCGAAACATTTTCTAAGCTGTCGTTGAGAACTTCAATCAAAGCCCCGGTTATCCCCTCCGCCTGCTTCGACGGCACACCCTGCGCCTCCAATCTCCTCACCTGTAAATGGTAAACAGAAACGAATGCCCCAAATTGAGCCACCTAGAAATGAATGAACACGAAATGAGATGAAATCAAATAGCAAAACCCTTACGAGGGCCAGGGTATCGACTAGGAAGAGGCGTTTGCCGTTGGATTTCACGAGATCGGAGTACGGTCTGGACCCGACCCGGCACGGAGCGAGAAAACGGGCTCCAGATAGCAAATTCCGTCGGCAACTCGCCGCATAAGCAGCGGCCATGTAGATGGTATTACCGTTCGAATCAATCTGGGAATACGACAGCGGATTTCCGGTAAAAATTCCGTCGACGCAGAGGAAAAACAAATTGATAATTTTGTTGTGCCGACTAGCTACAAATCAAAGAAACGACAGGCTGGATTATATTTCTTTTAGCCGATTGGCTATTGAGATGAGAGGATGGTTAACGAAGTGGGCTCTCTGGTTTAGCAGCAAAACTACCAATATAGTTTCTCCGTCAATAATTCAATATAAAACCAGTAGTTGTAAATGTGTAAATTATTATCATTATTATTATTATTATTATTATTATTATTAATATAATAATAATAATAATGGAATAAACAAGTTAAGACTTTTTTTAAAAGAATTTATATTATTAGTTTTTTAAGATACATTCATCATTTCTTAAGATCCTTATTCTATAATATAATCGTATATTAATATTAGTTATTCTATAATATAGATAGATTAATTTAATTAATTTTTTGTAATTTATGATTTGACTTTTCGTTATAAATTTAGATATATAAATGTCAAATTGAAGATAGATGATTAAATGAAATATCATAATTGAAAATTTGATAGCAAATAAAAAAGAATGTTATTAAGTTGTAAAATATACTTATAATTCAAGAATCAGGATGAACAAGTTTTTCTATAATTTTTAAGGTCTAATATACATAATAAAAGATCTATGTGGATTATTCGGAATCGCCATAAATTATACATAAAATTTAGAACTACAAAAAATTGACATATAAGAGTACGAAGAATTTGTCTAAATGCAAGAACAATAACATTGTTTTATATATTACTGAATAAACATTTTTTGTCCAAAATAGGATAAAATTTAATCAATCGGCCGTTTCATTTTTTATATACTTGGAACATATGTTAACTATATCAATATAAAGCTAAAAAAAAATCTATCAATTTAAGGTTCCATAAAAGTTAAACTATCAATTATGGAGGTTTTTATTTGTAACATCCATAAAACTGAAATGGTAATTGTTTCCTCTTCCCTTTTTGTTGTTCATTTTTTTCTCACTATGTTTCTCCCCTTTTTCTCTTATCCATCTCTTTTAGTTCTTTTTCCACATCTTTTTCCTTGGATGTTTAAAAGTACCATTGTAAACGAGTTGAACGTTCCAAACAAAAAATTCATTTGATCTCAACTAAAGCTTGTTCAATTAGTCATCCAGTTGAGCTTGAGTAGAAAATTAGGCTTGTTTGTTAATAAAAAAATACATGAACATGTTCGCGAGCATTCGATAATATCCTCAAATATTAATTTAATATATAATTTATTGTTTTTACGTAATATATTTTTAATAGAAATTATAAATAAAGTATCAATATATTTATATATATATATATATATCTTTATTTTTAATATGTTTATTTTCGAGCTCGAACAATTCCAAATACACTAATATAAGATAATAAAAAAATAGTAAGTTTGTTTATTAAATTGATACAACACAAACAAACCCAAATTTTGATCAACAAATAAACAAACAAGCTCTAATATCAATATTTTTTGTCGAACATGATTTTTTTTTAATAATAAATAACAAACTCGGAAAATTGTTTGAATATAACAAAACACGAGCTCGGAATGCTCTAGGTTGTCTCGCTCAATTCAATTGTGGCACTAGTAATAAGTATACGTACTTGACATGTGCAATTTTTACAAGCATGTTGAGTAATTATTCAGTATGTCTATGTTCGATCTAGTTTTACTGTGGAATGTGCATATGGTCCAGCCTAGGCTAATTGCCTGGGTTGAATTTTTGTGCTAACTACACAATTCATATAGTTAACACTAATACATACCCCGTGCGATGCACGGGACATATATATTAAATGAGTTATTTTCATCTGTTTAAGTTTAAAAGATAATAGAGTTATTAGCTATTATCTACCTATTTTAATCAACGTTAAGTCTAAAAAACAATAGGGCTATTATAAGTTTTTTTTTCCACATCTTTTAACCAGCGTTGTTATTTTTGCCAGAATATTAAATATGAGCATGCTATGGCTAGCTTGTAAAATAATTAATGTATTATCTCACTAAAATATTTATACTGATAAAGTAACAATTTTACTTATTGTTGTTCACCATATAATATTTAATTACTCCCTCCATTTTGAAATATAAGGCGTATAAAGATTTCTCATTTTTTTTGAAATATAAGGCGCGCTCAAATATCAAGACAAATTTTTGCATTTTTTTCCAAATATACCCTCATTGTGTTGAAATTAAAGAAGTGTGGAGTGGTTGTGATTAGAGTAAATAAGGTTAATTTAGTCAATTTATTCATTAATTAATGTCTCCTTAATATTTGTGCAATAACCTTAAATGCCTTATATTTCAAAATGGAGGGAGTATTATTTTATTATATAATAAAAAGGAATACTGTTAAATAGTGTAGTAGAATTGTTATAAAATCTTATGAAATATTATTCTTTAAAATATGGATTTAATATCTTTTTATGATTTGATAATATAAACAAATTTATATTTACCTTTGACTTTTCCAACAAAGGTAAAAAAATTGGTTCTGATTTTTATCCCATAACAAATCTTTAATGTCAAACCTATAAATAACAAAACAAATCTATAATTAATATCATTCTATTTCCAGCAAGCATTAATTACTTTTGACTTTTTTACTTACTATTTCTAGTAAATAGAATGTCTTTTTATATAAGTATAGATGTGTTAATTAATTTTATATTTAATATTTGTAAAAATATAAATACAAGTTTTTATTTTAGAATTTTTAATATTCTTAAAAAATAACAGTATTATTTTTATTTATAATGGTACAACTCAATTGTCAAATTCGACAGTATTATATTACAAAATTTTGTACTTATACTGTATACTAGGCTTGATAGATAAATTTATTGTTTTTCAATTATAATTGATATATATTTAATTTTTTATTGATAGAGATTAGATATAATTATTTTAATTTATGTATTCAATATGAATGTCAAATTATAGACGTCAAAATATGTCTAAGTTAATTTATTATATATGAATGTTATTATTTTTTAAAATATATTTACAATTTAAGTTAGTTAAGTGTTTAAATTTGAAAGTTCTGAATAAAGATTCATATTTATATAAACTATTTCGAATCTATAGAAATTAAAATATAGACTTACAAATAAAGCTGTAAAAACGGGCTAAAGCCCGCAGGCTGGCCCACCCCGCACCGCCAAATGGGTGGGTTGGGCCAAGATTTTCTAGGCTCCAGCGGGCCTAAATGGGCCAGCCCGTGTGGGCAACGGGCCAAGGCGGGCCGGGCTATTCCACGAGCTGGCCCATCTCAATCATTCTCCTATGTCTCCAATTTTCATCTCCTTATCAGTTTCCAAATTCCTCATTCTCATAGATTTTCAATTATCATCTCCTCATCCTCCACTTCAACACAAATCTTAATTGCCCAAACTCCAATTTATCATAGATCACTTCTGCTCGCGCGTCGGCCGCCGTGCGTCACCGTCAGAACCTCAGCCGCGAGCTTGCCGTGAGACCTCAGTCCTCGTCGGAGGTCCTCGCCATCCGCCCTCCACTTCGCTCTCGCCGCCCTTGGGTTGCCTTGGGTTTATTTAATTTGTACCTTTCGTCACATTTTTTTTTTCTTGTTTGGTGAATGGTGATGTTGTGTGACTCGATTATAAATTTGGGGCAACTTTTGTTCTCACCAATTTTGTTGAAAATAATCAGCTTTTCTTAATTAAATAAAAAAACCGCCAAACTCGCGCCTGCCCCGCCCCGCCCCGCCAATTAGCGGGCTTTGGCGGGTTACGGGCCGGCCCGGACCGGACCGCCGGCCCGTTTTGACAGCTCTACGTATCACTGCTAGTAAAGACAGGATAAAAAAACGTGACCTAAGTAAATTCCTTTATATAATACACAGTGTGCGCCAGGCGGTGACCCGTGGAGCACTTTCATTTTTTCTTTCGGTTACAAGAATACTACTTCGATTGAGGTGACCTGTGAAGAACATTTCATTTTTTCTTTTCGTTACAAGAACACTACTTCGATTCAGGTAACCTTCTCCAATTTTTTTTACCTACTTAATACTTCAGGCCAGCTACTTCTGCTTTTCTTTTTAAATCGATTAGATGTACGATTGTCAAAAATTTTCGCAAAGGGCCATGCGTAGCGGTAGGGGAGAATTGGTTTCTGTCGGAGTCATTAACTGCTAACACTATTTTATATTTGTATAATATCCGTTCCGATTTTGTTTCTGAATTTTTTTGGAAATAATAACTCCGATTCCTGGTACGTTAGTTCTTACTCTTACAAAGATTGAGTTAAAATATCCATTTCTAGGTTGTGTTGTGGGAGCATCTCATTGAATAAGCCATTAATTGGCATAGACTGTCAGGATTTAGTTTAAGGATTTAATTAATAAATTGGATCTTTTTTTCACCATTTTCTTCAAGTGTGTTGGTTTACTTGTTAGAGGACACGCTTTTGTTGCATGTGGTGTCTGCATTTCTGTTTCCACTAAATTATTATGTTTTGTATCTGTCTAATATCACATTGCAGTTTTGTTTTTTCCTTTCTAAAACAAGCTGATATTTTTTTTTTTATGTATTTTTTTTTTCATTTCTGCATTTTTGGGAAAAGATTATCTCCAACTTCGGGAAAGTTACTTCTAACTGAGTGAGACCAATGTGATGGCAAACATATATTTTCATGTATCCTCTTCATGTGTAGTGTAAGCTATCTGTTGGCATAGACTGTCAGTTTAAGGGTTTAATCAACAATTTTAAGGATTTTTCCCATTTGCTTCAAGTGTTGGTTCCGTAGTTCAAAGGACATGCTCTTGATGCATATCTTGTCTGATTTTTTTTTTTTTTCCTTTAAATTCTTCCATTCTAAGCATGTCTTGTATCACGTCCAGATTAGTTCAAGGGATTTTCGCATTTGCTTCAAGTGTTGGTTCCTTAGTTAATATTGGTTACTTCCTTATCAGCAATGACATCCAGATTAAACTATACCACCTTGAGAGTTAGTCTACACAAGAAGCAAGTTATGTTCTCTGTCATCAAGATTAAAGAAAATGCAATATTAAGATCATTCCTTCTTGTTTATTCGTTTCCTGTTTGTATTTATTTCGCGTGCGATGCATAATATGTCTGCAAAGAAAAGGGAAGATTTTTCTAGCGAAAAATTTTCGTGGATAGGTTGTTGTAGTACTCAATATTTATTTGGACATGTTTATTGAGCCATTAAGTCTGCAATGTCTCATAAAATCTGGTTTAAGGGGTTAGTTACATGAGAGTTATTTCACCCTCTTCTTAGCTTTTAATGCTATATGATTATGATTCGTGGTTGCTGTCTTTCCAGTTTGCACCTAACCTGACTTATATCTCATTGTTATTCTGTGTGTACGTGTGTTTCCTGTTCTGGTTTAACATTTAGACATTTTTATCGACTAGCAAATTGTACGAGGCTCTCAATTATCAGCATACATTTATTATTTTTGTCAACAATTTGTTGTTACATATAAAGTCCGTATCCTAGAATCTTCTTCTGTTTCTGTACTTGGAGTACTCTACACCTTCTCCTTTGTCGCTTAAAAAGTTAGTATTAGATTATAAGAAGAACACATTTTAAGACTTTCACCATGATATTTTTTCACTTAATTAATATCAAAATATAATAGCAGAATGGAGCCAAAACCGTCGTTCAACTTGCATTAAGAAAAGCAAAATTCTAAATTAGTTGACATAAAATCTCAACTTCACTAATAATGAGCAGATTAATACCAGTCACTCATGGCGGATGAGCCTGATTTGAAGTCAAGCCCTGGCATGACGGTCGATGAATGCCAGAATATGATCCAGAGAAGTCTCCGAAGTACTATTTAGTTATTGTTACGGCTATTTATTGACTCTAGGATTCAATATGTTCCTTCATCTAGATGTATTATTATGCAGCTCCCATGGTGAAATTTCTGAAGGAGCACCTGGAGAAATCGGGATGTGGTATTGGCAGCAATTTCATAAAGGCTGTCAATTGTAAAGGAGCTACTGCTGGTGGTTATGTTAAGGGTGAAGGGGTAAGTTGAGTTACAACACACTACCTATTTAGTTTGCAAGTTCAAATCTTGATATCCTAAATCGCCAATCGGAAATAGGGGAAAATTATAAAAAATAATAGGGTGTGTTGATTCCCAAAGTAATTTCTGTGTTCTGAAGTAGAAGCTAGGAGTCACAATATTGGCAGCATTTTACATTTTTTTTTTTGTTCATTTTTTGTGTAAATCGGAAATCTGTGATTCCTCACCTTATATATTGTTTCTGATCATAGATAGTGGTATGTAGTAATCACCTGCAAATCCAAGATGAGGTAACACAAGTGGTGATTCATGAGCTCATTCATGCATATGATGAATGTCGTTCTGCAAATTTGGACTGGTCTGACTGTGCTCACCATGCATGCAGTGAGGTTGTACTCTTTCTTTATTCAAAATACTTGCTTATTACTTCTTT